ATCGGTGAGTGCCCACAGCCAGAGGAGGGGGTCCGGGTGCCCCTGGTGGAGCCCAACACTGCCTCCTCCCACCTAGAATTCCTGGATGAGGTGATGGCTGATGCCTGCAGCCGCTTCAGTGAGATGGGGCTGCCAGTGGCGGCCACGCTCCTCCTGGAGCTGCACGGCTCCCAGCGTAGCCTGGCTGAGCAGCAGCAGCAGACCGGTATGGCTTGGAATAGGGAGGAAGAGGGAATGTCTGGGGCTGGAGGCCATGATGGACCCCAGGGACAAGAAATGGGTGCCCAGGGACAGTGGGATCAGGGTGTTCAGAAGTGAAGCATGGTGCTGAGGGGCCATGAGTGATGGATGTTCAGGACATGGGAGAGTGGGACCAGGCATGTCCTGGGGTGAGGGATGGGTGCTCAGGGCTGGGTGGGGACTGGAGACCTTGAGGTCATCAGGATGAGGGACAAGTGACCAGAGCCTAGAACTGGGGGCCTGGAGTCATGGATGGCTGCCTGTGGATAGGAGATAGGAGATCAGGGGTGTCCTGAGGAAAGGCATAGATGCCCGGGACCAGGGAGAGGGGACCAGCAATGGATGCTTGGGATGGGGACTGGGAAGACACTACGGTGAGGGATGGGGGTGTGCTCTGGGGGTCTGCTGAGGGGTTCATGAACATGGGACAGGGGGGACTAGGGGTGTCACAGGGTGGTGGACAGGGACCCAGGGACAAGGGACAGAGGGACCAGGAGTATCCCAGGATGTGAATGAATGCCCAGGATGGGCACTGGAGGTGCTGGGTAAGGGCTGGGTGCCTGGGGGTGCCGTGGGTCCTGTCCCAGAGCTCCTGGTCACCTTCAGAGGAGATTGTGCACCAGAACGGTGGCTCCAGCGTGGCCTGGGCGGAGGGGCAGGAGGAGCGGGAGCGGCTCTGGTCCATGCGCCACAACGCCTGGTACGCTGCTCTGGCCCTGCGGCCCGGCTGCCAGGTAGGCACAGGGGTGGGGATGATGGCAGTGGCGCCCGTGGTGCTCTGAGTGCCACAGCTCTGCCCTCCCTGGCCCAGGGCTACTCCACCGACGTCTGTGTGCCCATCTCCCGCCTGCCTGATGTGGTGGTGGAGACCAAGCAGGACCTGCAGGCCTCCAACATCACTGGTGAGCAGGGCCCCAGCCCCCTGGGACAGAGGGGATGGGGGTCACCATGCTCTACACCACACCCCATCTGAGCCATGGCCTTGCAGGACCCATGGTGGGACACGTGGGCGATGGCAACTTCCACTGCATCCTCGTCTTCAACTCCCAGGACCCGGAGGAGGCCCAGCGCATCCACGCCTTCACCGAGCGCCTGGGCAGGTGGGGCCAGGGTGCTCTGGGGGGCCGGGGCTGGACGGACAGATGTCCCCATCCCCTGTCCTTCCCTGTCCCGCAGGCGGGCACTGGCAGCAGGGGGCACCTGCACCGGGGAGCACGGCGTGGGGCTGGGCAAGCGGACACTGCTGCAGGAGGAGCTGGGCCCGGAGGGCCTGGACACCCTGCGCTCCATCAAGGCTGCACTCGACCCCCACAACCTCATGAACCCCGGCAAGGTGCTCTGAGGGGCAGCACCAGCACTGCACTGGCACTGGGGAGCCTCAGCCCCTGGAGGCAAGGCCAGGGTGGCCATGCTGCCCTGCAGTGCCACTGTATGTGACCCTACTAATCACCCCATCCTCACTTCTGGGGGTCAGGGATCCCCAAACCCCCAATAAACCCTTTGGACTCACACTGTCCGTGTGCTGTGAAGTTTTTTAGAGGGATAGAAACCCCCAGCCCCTTCCCAGGAGGCCCCAGTCCCAGACAGCACACACAGGGCAGGGCATCCTCAGGGTCCCAGCTCAGCCACCTGCCCTGAGCTGCAGTACTGCTGGTGCCAGGTGGGAGCTCTCTGGCACCTGCTGAGCACTACTGTGGCCATCCCCACATGGCAGGCACAGAGAAGGGGAACTGGCGTGGTTGGGGGGCTCCAGCACCCCACTGGCATCATCTGCTTCACCAAGAAAGCCAGTGAAATAAAATAACAGTGAATGTTTTATTGAACATTGTTTTAATACCATATCAAAACACCTTGACTAATGAAGGAAGCTCCCCCCAAGCTCTGAACTCTTTTTTTCCCCCATTTTTTTTTTTAATATATAAATACAGAAAGGTTTCCCGCAGGGGCACGGCCACCGGCAGGGGAGGTCTCACCAACGAAAACGCGCCCGCCGCGCCAGGAGGGGACGGGGATGGGCGAGGGGGTCACTGCCATGAAATGACACCGTCTTGGCACCTCCAGCAAAGCCACCCCTGCGACTCGGGGTGGCTGGGAGCATCCAGGGGGCCGCTGGGGCCTTCCCCATACCCTCCTCAAAAGGGTCCAACTCAAAGCCGATGGAAAAGAAAAGGGGAGGCAGTTTTGGCAAGAGGAGCCCGGCGAGGGGGCACAGGAGGGGCGGCGGGGATGCTGCAGCTCTCCAGTCTCTGAGTGGTTATAGCTGAGTTAAAGAGTGACCAGTCTGTAAACATCACCGGGGCAGGGAAGCTCAAATTGAAGAACACGCCAGTCAACACGAAGCTTCAGTTGTGGTTTGTTGTTTGTTTTTTTTTTTGTCCGTTTTCTCTTTTTTTCTTCTTTTTTTTATCCTTTTTTTTCTTTTTTTTTTTCTCATTGTAAACACTTGAAAGACGGACCCCTGCGACTCAGCAGGGGGGAGCAGTGTCCCCGCTCCCGGCGTGGGGCAGAGTCCCCATCTCAACGCTGCCGGGGCCCGGGGTGGAGATCTCCAAAAGGGAGATAGGAGAGAGGAGGAATTTCCCGTTTAGTCAGTGCAAAAAAACCGAGCAGAGCCCCCGGGCGAGTCCGGGTGGGAGGCGGGGGGTTGCCGGTGAGAAATGCCGCGTGCTCCGTTTGGCCGGCTGTCCCCCGGCAGCTTTCCCCGTTCGGTTCGGGGACAAAAGCCAAACATCATGGCAGGGTTTCGGCCGAGGGCGTCCCCGGGGCCTCCCTGGCAGGCAGAGCTCTCCTGGTGACCAGCGGCTGTGGAGGGGAGAGCAGGTCGCTCCGCTTTTCTCACACTGTCGTCTCCTGGATGTTTCTTTTTGTTTTAAGTCTTTTAAATTAAAATTAAAAAAAAAATAAAACAAAAAAAACCAAAACAAAAAGCAGAAAAACAACAGAACAAATAAAAATAATAAAATAAAATAAAAACTGCGCCGTTGTCCCAAGAGGATTCAAGTTTCTGGGTTTTATTTTTGTCTTCTCGAGGAATTTAAAGTCAGCCCAAAACTCCAGGCGGGGCAGGGGGGACGGGGAGAGGAGGTACAGCAGGTATAGCAAGGTGCCCTGCAAAGGCAGAGAGAGACCGTCCCGGGTGAGGAGCAGGAGCCCTGGCTGTCACATCCCACCCTGTCCCACCCTGTCCTCCACTTCCAGCCCTGGATTTAAAGCCACCATGGGAATGTCCCTTCTGAGCAGCCCACCGCAGGCTCACCTTAGAGAGAAGTCAGCAAGCACGCTCGGCGGGTCAATCAGAAGGATGCTCTGGGCAAGATCTGTTCACTTCAAACCATGAGTCTATACAGCTGCAAGAGGAGAGTGTGTTACCAGCATGCTGCTGAGCCTCAGGTGTCCCTGCCTGTCCCCTTGCCACCGCCTGGCTGTCCCCTCATGGTACCTTTTGTGATAAATGCAGAGGCAGGGCAGCCTGGCTATCGTGTCCCCCTGCAGCAGCTCCTCCAGGCAGATCACGCACTCGCCGGCGTCCTTGGTCAGCACGTCATCTGCGAGGGGAGGACAGGGCAGCAGTGAGCAGGGACCACCAGAGCACTCCCCTCCCTGGGATGGAGCAGAGCCCAGGGTCACTGCTGCGGGGGCAGCGGGGATAGGGTAGAATGGCAACAGTGCTGGGAAACACTGGCAGGAGGCTCCTGTGGAGGCACAGTGGGGACATGGGTCTGGGGCATCTGGAGTGAACACAACCCTTATCCTGGCTTCCAAAAATCACCAACCAGTGGGGGGTGAGCATCACTCCCACACTAGTGGTCAGGAGAGCGGTGGGAGTTGCTGGAGCTGGAGCTTGCAGCCCAGTGCTCAAGGCCAGCAAGGAGGGGAGGAAGGCAGTGACCCTTTGGGGGACAGCCCAGGAGGACACGTGCCAGCAGAGCTCCCTCTGGCACCACGGGGAGGGGAGGGGGCCCCCTCGGGGTAGGGGGCTGTTACAAAGGAGCCCAAAAGCAAAAGGAGCAGGCTTGAGCCACGACAGGGGAGCAGAGTGGAGCAGCACCATCCTGCCGGAGCACAGCCCCCTTGGGAAGCCCAGCCAAGCCGCCTGCCCGCAGCAAACGGCTCTTCAGCCACCCGGAGCCTCCCAGGGTAGCAGGACGCCGTGTCCCCCACACAGCCTGGCCCTTACCGTTGTAGGAGAGGCGAGGTTTGCTCAGACACATGATAAAGTGCATTTCCATCTCGTCAGAAGCCACAGATTTGGAGCAAATGGGGCACTTGAAACCTGGAAGGAGAGCAGAGAGACGAGCCCTTAGCGAGGGCAGCAAGAGTCATCCACCCTGCATCCCGGGGAATCCCTGGGGCCATGGGGGGCATGGCAGCGGGCAGCCCCTCACCTGCTGCCTGCATGGTGACCCTCACCCCACACAGCACCCGCTGGGCACCCGCTCATCCTGCGCCGGCCACCAGCAGCCGCCAGTGTGGGGACAGCCACCGAACAGGGACAGCCGCCGAGCCGGTGCGCTGGCCGTCCCTGTGCCCGCCGCGCAGAGGGCACGGACAGCGTGCCAAGGCACTGCACACGTGGCCATCAGCTGCTGCCAGGCCTTAAAGGGCGAGCAGCAGCCTGGGGCATGCAGCATCGAGCCACGGGCAGTGCCTGGGCACATCCCTGTGCCTGGACAGCGCTGTCCCTGCTGCCAGAGCTCAGCACCACATGGCTGAGCCAGAAAAGCTGCAAGGAAGGAGTTTTTTTCTATGGCTGCAGCACAGGACTGGCAGATTGGAACCTCAAACACAAATGTCTGCTTTGTCCAGCTTTTCACAGAAGTGAAGTGGGTGCTCACCCCTCTGATGCCAGCCTGCCTCCCCAGAAGCAGGGGGACTGCAGGCTGATGAACCAGCTTGACCTTGGCCCTGCTGGTGATTTGGGCTCTTGGATGAATCTGGATGGGATGCCCAGATCTGCTCTGTGACCTTGCTTGGGGTGGTGCCAGGGTGCCACACCAGTGTCACACCTGCTGGAGCCATGCAGACCACCACGGCACCACCCCCAGCCCCACTGAGCGAGGCTGTCCAAATGCAGTTTGTAAGCCCCAAACTCACAAGGAGCAGAACCCCAAGCAGCCCTGTAGGTCACCCCTCTGGGACTCCCTGCCCTCCCACTGCAGCCTGCTCAGGGCCATGAGGTTTGTCACTGCCCAGCAGAGCAGCGCAGCTCGAGCCGAACACGCGCGTGCCACCACCACGGGTTTGCACCAGAATATCCAGCAATTCCCTGCCTGCAGAGAGGGAGAGGGTAATTTAAGGATCTGCCTTCTAAAAGCAGATCAGGTTTGACTGCAGTGCTGCTTAAGAGCTTCCTTCATATATATGCAAAGGCTGCTCAGGAATGAAAAGAAAAAGAATGTACACAAATTATCTAAGGATGAATCAGGTTCTTGTTTGCCACCATGTGGATGTGGACAGGGCATTTTCTTTTTTTTTGCTTCTTGTAAGAGACAAAGTACAGGGTGGCTTGAAGGAGAGGCAGCTCAGACCTCTGCTGTGCAACAGCCCCTGTAACTTCTCAACACTCCAGTGCTCATTAGCAGCAGTGATAAATACAGTTCACTTCCCAGGTCCTTGGATCCTGCCCCTCCAGAGTGTTGTTATTTCCCAGGAGAGTGCAGCAAGGATGAGCACTATGGATGGTATGGGATTGGCTCTAAAAGGACCTGCTAAAAGAAGAAGCCTCAAGCCCAGCAGTCCTCCAGTGGGGTGTCCTGCTGGCTGCAGCATTGCCACCCTGGGAACAGATCCCTGCCCAGCCTGGCTGAGCCACAGGATGTCTGCTCTGAGTCCAGCCCCAACTGCACCAAGCCCCAGGCGATAGGGCAGCACTGCAGCCAGGGCCTCGTGGGCAGCAGCACCGATCTGCCTCCTCCTCTCCAGCCTAATTTTACTCCTGACCGATTTATACCTTGTGGCAGCCGTGCCCATTAGCTGAAGTCGTTGGTTTTTTCCTCCTCCCAAGTGTTTACCCGCCCGGTGTATTTATAGCGTGGATAGCTCAGATGGCCTCCCAGGCTGCCTGCTGCAAGACCCAGCCGGCCTCCCCTTGCCAGACACCCTCCCGGTGCCCCTCTCCCCTGGCAGCCCGCCTGGGCCTGGCCCTGTCCCCGCCTGAACTGCTCCTGCCTGGCACGGAGGGGCTGCCAGCGCCACCGGCACCGGTCCTGCCGGGAGCTCCGGGCACTGCTTCCAGCAGCACCTCCCTGGAACGGCTGCGAAGGGCTCCCTTTGGGAAAGGCATTTTGTCTGCAACCTCTGTGTCAGGGCACGGCATTTGTAGAGGTTCAGTACTGTTCCCTGAGCTGTGTGTGGGCAGACCTCGTTTCCTCTGGTCCCCCCTTTTCTGTGCCAATGTGTTATTTTAAACAGCTGTCCCAGATCTGCCAGCTCTGGCAGCACCCGAAGGGATCCTATGAGACGTGCAACCAATGTAAAGGGAAAAGGCCCCAGATGAAACTGCCTG